AAATACTACACAGAAGGAAACAATAAAGACAGAGGCAAATGCAAAAGGTGAGAACAACTTAAAATTACCTTTTTAATTCCTTAAATAAGGAACCTGACTCCTGTTTCCCTTCTTGCTTTGCCAAAATCTGAGATCTAACTAGATATAGAACATAAAGCTATCATGACTCTCAAACTGTGTATTTCCAATTGTGCATTTTGCAGCAATGGAAACAAAATCACATTGGCTGGTTTATCTGGAGAGCAATGAGGCTGTGATTTAACAACTGGAATCCAGATACGTTGCACAGATTTTTTTTTTAAAATCCAGTCTTCAGTATGTTTTTGTCCTTTTTTCCCTTTGCAATTGACTCAATGACTTCAGCCTGCTCTGAGCTTCTTTAACTGTCTTCCATTGAGCTTCTGCTACTACTTAGTGTTGACTATTTCAGTGTCTGATGGTTTAGTACATGTGATGCTTCTTGCAGAACACACTGATCTGCTGCAGCTCCTTTTGAGGTCTAGCTCCTTAACTAACCCTGCCTCTAAAACTGGATCCTTATTCCACTGGCCCAGTGGTGTTATACGTGGAATCTGTTTCTGCAATTCCTGTGGCACAGTGTAAATCCTGCCTCTTGGTGAGAAGTGCAAAGCCCAGGTACTTTGTTGTGTTGCAGAGAATTCTCTACAGTTTTGTGTAACAGCAGCTTTGCTTCTGTTGTGCTAAGTGAATTCTGTAGATTTAAGTGTTTTTTCTGAAGGATGCAGAACAGCAGCGGGTGAGTTGCTCACTGCACCATTCCAAACAAGCTAAAGCTGGATGAGCTTTAAGATCCAACCCCAAATGTTCTATGATTAACTACTCAAAGCACCAGAGCATTTTCTGGTTTCATCCTCTTTCATGTGAACCTTGCAATGGCCAGGTGTGCTCGCTGCAGCAGGCCAGCTGTGTTTGGTCACTGAAAATGGATTGTGCACATTTTGTTCAAAACAAAACAACATGAAACGCCATCTGACTCACTTGATCCAAGGTGTTTCCTACCCTTTCTGTGTCAGCTTACCAACTTCTAAAGCATTTACTTCCTTTTTTTTTAACTGCTTGTTTCAACGTTTTCTCTAAGTGTTCCTAAAGTTTATTTTCTTTTGGATTTTCTAAGAATATTCCAAGAACGGAGGGGAAATAGAGTTCCCTTGTGATGTGCAGATCCTCAGAAAGCAGATGAGCTATTCCCTACCCCTGCAGTGTGACAGAGCAGTCCATGAAGCTGATTGTTTTAAGTGTTACTCAAATTGATCTTCCTAATTTGGATTAAGTTTTACTTAATGAGGAAGTAATGAGATTATCATAGACAAAAAGGACTGTGTCTCTTTTGGGAACTACCATTTCTGAGACTTGACTTTATTTCAAAGAGAGCTATAATTCTTTCTTTAGGGGAATGTAAATTTAAATTACAATCTAACAATGGGACTTTTCTAGAAACTGTTTTGACACCGAATGATGGAAGTATTATACTGTGTGTTTTCTTCCTGTGGAAAGGATTGACTGCTGCAAGATTAACACGTTCTGGATGGGTGCCATTTTCAGATAGTTAGTTCAACTAAAAGAGAAAGGATCTGATTAAGGGATCAAGCTCATTATTTGTTTGTTATTTGTACTCCACACCCTACAATGGGAGTGAATCTTTGCCTCTTTTCCTTAACAATAATTAGGATCAGAGGGTTCAACAATTGCGTATTAATAGGCCTTTTTTAAAAATGAAAACATGAAGTAGCTAAGCGATTACCATTTCCATTAAACTTTAAAATCCTTTAAAAAGCCTTCCACAAAATGTTCAAGGCATAGCCAGATACTCAAAAGAGGGCACTGAGAATAAGGGACTTCTGAGCTCGGGGATTTTTCCTGAGCTTGTATTTTCTAGGAACCTCTGCTGTAATGTATAATCCAGGCTCCTGTCGATGCTGTTCTCAGTGTCTGTGGTTCAGCTGTGGATTTTTGGTGGTGTAGCCCCAGCAGTACATTAGGTGAGCCAAGGAGAGACTGTGGCACCTGTGACACCTGCTGTCACAGGATTCTGCGTCCTTCCTTCACACAAACCCGCGGAGCGCTGGCCCTGCTGCCACTGGTGATGCTGCTAAACTGTGTTCTGTGAGGACTTGATTCATATTATTGATTTTTGCATTTAATAGCGTGAGTGATTTAAAACATGCACAAGAAATTATGTTTCAAAAGGCATGTGTGGCTCGTTATGCACTGTGCCTCCCTGCCAGAAATCCATCTGTCCTTTGCTTGATGAGCAGCACTTTAGCTGGGAGGGAAAAATGGCACTGGTGACCCAGATCTGCAAAGGTTTATGTATGCAGACAACTTGTTGAACCCAGACAGTGGAATTAGGCTCTTAAAATCACTGGTTAAACTTACTGGGAGCACTCACTTGTGGAACTGGGGCCTGGGCTGGACCTGACTCATGCCCAGGGGCAATATGTGGCAGGCACCAGGCTTTGCTTCTTCCAGGAATGCTGACTGACACTGGGGAGTTTAATTTCTATTCAAATGAAAGGAAGGGAGAGTCTTGCCTCAATATTGGCTATTTCCATATGTAAGAATAAACACAGGTCATACACCTCAGACACCAGCAAGGGCTTACATTAAGAATGTAAGAAGAGTTTGTAAGAATGTACTGAAGAGTTTGGTTGAATTGGAGATGAAATCTTTTAAGAGAACATGTTTTTATTGCCTAAAGGAGTTCAGTGAATAGTGAAATACTAAATTGTCAAAGGAGTAGAAAAAGAGATTTGATAAACCTTGGTTTTTTTACTGCTAAGAGATTTAGCTGTGGTTGGCTGTAGGCAGAGCTGACTTGGCATTCTTGGGGATAGATTTGTATGTACAGGGACTTCTGCCTGGTGGCTGGTTGATCTTGTGCATTTTTTCTTTCTAAGATGCATCAAGACTCCCAGCCTAGAGCCTGCAATGAAGTTTGAGCAAAGCTTTGAGGCAGGGTATTGGAATTTGGGCTTAGATGGACTTTTATAGTATTGGAGAGGTTTCTAGATATAACTGCATTAAAGCAGAAATAAATATAACTGGCAGTGCTTTTATAATTTTGATTAGTATGTTTGCTAGTTACTGAAGATAAAATGCAGACTTATATGGATCTTGTCCTTCTCCAGAACCATCTCAGCATTCACTTTCAGTGTGAAGTCATAACGTTGAATAACAGAAAATAATGCCTGTGAAAGGCTGAGATTGAATACACATGTATGACATCATTGTGGAAGAGAGAAACAGGTTGGCTAGAAGTGAATAAGGACTTGATTCATCAAATACAGTAGCCCTAAATTTACAGAAAATGGCCAGTAAATTATTTTGCATCAGTTCTGTTCTCCAGATCTATTCTCTTGGTTTCTTGTGAAAGGAGGTGAAGCTAAGGGCAATATGTGTGAAGTTTTGTTCTAATACTGACTTTAAATCAGAAACATGTCAGTAGAAAGAAGACATTGACAAATCACCAAATGAACAAATAAATAAATAACCCAGAGGGGTAGCTCTGCTGCTGCTAATCTTTCTGGTATCCATAGTTATTTTTCAAAAAGGACAGCGTGTTTTGTGTTAGAAGCTTGTCATTTAAAGCTGGCCAGATGGGCCCAGATTAGGATGATGGTTCCCCAAATGTGTAATACAGGAGAATGACGCTGATGCGGCAGCTGCGCAGGGAACTGTAATAAAAGGTTTTAATAGAGGGAAGTGCCTGTGATGGATCCAATCTTCTTAGAGCTTTTGAGTACTCCCAATTTTCCATCAGCGTTATTTTTGCTTCATTATATGGTGCAGACGAGAGTCACTGTAGTACTCCCTTCCCAAGTTTATCAGTAGAAGCAGTGCTCAGATGATCAGAAACCAAAAAAAGCAGGCAGGAGGAAGACTGACTGTCCACAGCAGAGGGCTGGATGCAGAGTGTCAAACAGCTCACAGCAAAGTACACTGTAAACTGTCTTCTGTTGCAGTCCCACCTTTCTACTCGACTGACATTAACAGCTCTCTGTCAGGGTAGTCCCCTTTAAATTTCTTCTGCTGCTCTTCCTTCCCACCTTCCTGTTGCATTGTGCCATCCTTGGAATCTGTAGGGATAAACTAGTTCATCTCACTAGAACAGTGAGGAAATAATTCCACAAATGAATAAATTTTGCTGCTCCACTCTTTGCTGTGTTGCTGCTCGCTGTGGGACCAGGCCAACATCAAAGGTATGACAAAGAGATGGAATTTTGTGTGTGTGAAATTTTGGCAGTGTGGCTGGGTTTGAGGGAGGGTTCATGGGGAGCCCTGCTGGACATGGCCTTTCCTTTCTGGTGTGACTCAGCTGTTGATTCAGTTCAGCTGGAACACCTCAGATGGATCTATTGCTTTTATTTCTGTGCCAGACCTGGGATGACTCCAATGCATGCTTAATTGAAAGTAAGGGGTTTGGCACATACAAGACATTTGTTTTATGTAGCTCACTGCGTCTGAAACAGCCCGTTTGACCCATGATGATGTGAGTGTTTGACACATGCTGCTCACCAAGAGCTGAGCCACTGCTGCCTGAACAACTGACCTGGTTTCACAGGTGTTACTACAGAGGGGGTTAAAGGCACCTAGGCAGTCTCCAAAGGAAGCAAAGTGGGATCTTTTTAGGCTTAATTTCTATAAAGGAAAGGACTCCTCAAAACCTGATCTTATATTTGGATAGATGGACTCATATTTTGAAAAACACAAAGCAAAGAATAGATGAGCTATGTCACAGCATTACAGATTCATTAAGGAAATAGTTTTTTGTTTTCTTGGCTGCTAAATGGTATGAGGCACATGAAATCTCTCCTAAAGTGGAAGTTAAACTGGAGGAATTTCTGTCTAATTACATTTTTAGTGAGATGTACCTCTTCTCAAAAAACAATAGATATTTTTGAAAGTATTTTTAGACTGCATCCACAATGTTGGTATTCTCAAAACATATGTTTGTTTCTCAACAGGTATAAAAAATAAAAATGGGTGAACTGGACCATGGAACATTGTTTTCAGCTCATAGGATTAGTGGTGGAGGTATGTATGCTGTCATGTTTAATTGTTTTCTCAACTGTTTATGAAACACTGCAATTAATAGCCTCACGTAGGAGCTGTTATAGCACCCTGGTTATGGTTTGGGTTGGAAGGGACCTTAAAGCCCATCCAGTTCCACTCTGCCATGGTAGGGACACCTCCCACTGTCCCAGGTGCTCCAGCCCCAGTGTCCAGCCTGGCCTGGGGCACTGCCAGGGATCCAGGGGCAGCCACAGCTGCTCTGGGCACCTGTGCCAGGGCTGCCCACCCTCCTTTAGTTCCTGTCTGTATCCACCCTCCTTTCAGGCTGCAACTGGTGCCCCTCGTGCTGTCACTTACAGATCCTGGCAAAGAGCCTTTCTGTTCCCATATAAGCCCCCTTTACATATGAAGAGGATGCAGTAAAGTTTCCCTGGAGTCTCCTCTAGCCAAACATCCCCACCTCTCTCAGCCTGTGTTCACAGGAGAAATGTTCCAGGCCATTTCCACGGTCTCTGGGCCAGGTTTCTGTGCCCCTGTGCCAGGGCCTGGAGCTGGGTGTTGGTCTCTGCAGGTCCAGGTGCAGAGCAGAGGGGCAGAACACCTCCCCTGGCACCATTCATAAAATGAGCTAGTAACTCAATTCCATGCTGCCTCTCCTGCAGGCCAGGCCCAGGCTGGCTTGCTGGGCTCCAGGGGCAGCTTGCCAGTTCACACCCAATATTTTTGCCCCCAGGATCCCCAGGTTGCTCTCCCCAGGGCTGCTCCCATCCATGCAGTGCCCAGTCTGCCTGTCCTGGGCACTGCCTGGCAGGGGATTTGGAAAAGCCCTTCCCCAGCGAGGCATTGCCTGGAGATGTGTTGTGAGGCTTTGTGTAGGCATGCAACAAATGAAAATCCTGCAGGAGGCTTGAAGGAGGATCCTGGGGCGGCTCTGCAGGATTTATTTTACCTTTTACCCCTCTGTAAAACCACATGTCAGGCACAGCACCTCCAGCCATGGGGCTTAGTAGGGAATGTGGAAACATAATGGCCAATTTCACTACTAAAGAAAACTGAAGCAGAGGTTGTGAGGAAATGCCCATTCCTTATCCCTGTAAGCCTCCTAGCTTACGTGGAATGACTGAGTATCTGTGCATGAGGGCTTCACAGTGCTAGGGCAAGAGTTCAGGTAGCTCATTTACAATTGTAATTGTACCTCAATTTTATACTGTCTAGAAGAAAATCTACTCCTGTTGCTCAACCCAGAGATGGCAAAAAACATTGAGGCAGTTTTCCAATCAGTGCAAGAAGGATGCATTTATTGTATTAGAAGTTATTACAATGCCTGTAAAGGCAGTTTAATATGAATTGACAACTAAATTCACATGTAAACTAAGGACTTTTCAAATTAACTTTTTGTAAACAGACAACTGGTTACTGTTTCTTATATAATTTTTGTTAGTATATTAGTATGTTTGTTTCAAATATACTATGTCATTTACCAACTAGCAATATTGGTATGGAAACTTCCAGTGTTGAAATCAATGGTTCTGATTTCTATCTGTAGAGCTTTCATTTTATGCCTTGCACTTTAGTTATTTCTCAAGAATTTAAAATGTCCTTATGTTTTTTATATGATAACTAGACAATTTGGCGGTTCCTGCCAGAAATGCTCTTTGCAGCCAGAAGTACAAACCTGTTGACTACAAACATCTGTATGAAATTGCTGCAGAGGCAAAAATGGCCTCTGCACAAATTCAGTTAAAGGTAGGATTTTTTTTTTTTATTTGTAATGTGAATACTTTTGAAATTCAGTGACCATATTTCTTTCAGCCAGAGAGGGTCAAATATGAAAGTTTACCATAGCTTTTTTGTGATTTGGGTGTATTAATGTCAATGTGGGGACTTTCTTCAGATCAGGGATGCAAAGTATTTGTGGATTCTATTTTCTCAAAAGACAGGAAAAATTGGTATTTTACTGCCTTGAGGAAATTCACCCAAATTTATTACATAATCCTGGGGGCAGTGAAGAATTTGTGGGATTAAATGAGAAGGGAAGGCTGATCCAGAAAAAAAAAGCCAACTAAGAAGATATTAAGTGAGGATTTCCAAAAGTCAAGCAGAGGTACATCTTAAAAAGATTTAAAATGTTTAATAGCCATAAAATGTAAATTGGTATAAATTGGTGCAGAACATCTCAAGGGGTAAAGACAAGAGGAACCTTATTTAATGCTAGAGAAGGGTGAGTGAGAGAAAAAACCTACATACTTCCTTTATAATATTGCTTCTTTAGTGCATGTCGGTATCATATATCAGCAATTCTGGCAGATACTGCTTCATGGATTGGCAATACCAAATTGTGCTGAATGCATTCAAGCTTTATTGTTTCATCTTTGTTTTGTTTTTTCACCTTCTCAAGTGTTTTCCAGCTGAGTAGGTAGTGAAATATATATGGTGGAAGCTCCTGAGAGACTATGTGCTCCACCTACTACTTTTTGTTGCTGATTCAAGCCATTCAGATTTTGAAGAGCTGGGTTCCTCTTCCTTTGAGGTAGAACCAAAGAAGCAAATGGTAAATCAGCTGCTGACTGCTTAAGAAATAAAAAAAAGACAGCTCAACAGGGGAAAATATAGTATTACAGCAGTTATGCATAAGTGGCAATGCTGTTGCTATAATCTCAAGAGCATGTTGAACTTTACATACAAAAGTACATCAACTTTTGTTTCACTTAGTTTTAGAATTGGTTTGCAGATGTAACTATTTTTAAATTGCTTTAAATACAGTATTCTGTTTGCTTAAGTCTGATTTCATATAAGAGTTTTCATATTGTAACAAGAGAAAGAAGTAACAGTAACATTTTATGAAATAGAGGAAACTATAGGTAACTTTTAAAGTGTGAAGGTATGTAAGCAATAAAAGTGAGACATTATCTTTGATGCAAAAGTGTTGCCACATTTCTCTTCACAGAGAAAAGCAAGGCACAATTCTTCCCAAGGATTTCCGAGATTCACATTCTCTGAACCTCCGAGAAAGGAGAAACACAATTGTTATTTCATTTGCTGTGCCTGTGTTGTGCTGAAGTGGAATACAGTGTGAAGGTTGTTTATCCAAAGTGGTGGTGTTTTGTTCCTTTGGCCTGTCAGGACCAAGAGTGTGTGTGTCAGACTGTGGGCCAAAAGTCACGAGAGAGTCACGAAATGGGTGTAATTCTGTGCAGGCATGAGCAGAGTGAGTGCTTGGCAGATTCAGTTAGATGTAATGGATGTAGTATAGAATAATATAATAAAGTCATTAATTAGCCTTTAATAAAATGGAGTCAGATGCATCATTCTCTCCCCTTCGTCGGGAGTTGCCTTTGATTTGATACAAAACTGCTGTAACGCAGAGATTGAAAGCGTGGAGCACGTGTGTCCAAGCTCCAGCACGGGCCCAGGTGCAGCTCCTGTGAGCACCTGCTGTCCCAGGCACAGGGACACAGTGTCTCCATGGCCCCTTTTGCAGCCTCTCCCCCAGTGACAGCCCCGAGGCAGGCTTGGTGCCAAGCACAAGGACCAGCCACCTTCCCATGGGGATGTTCCCTGCGTGCCTGTCCAGGAGCCAGGTACATCCACCCTCGTGTCTAAAGCAGGATTTCAGCTCTGTCGTGGGTGGCTGAGGCACTGGGACTGCAGAGTTTTCAAGCCCTTCCTCGTCTGTGTGTGAGTGCTGCAAGGAGCAATTGTGCACCTTTCCTACTCGTGTCCCCAGCCCAGCGCGGGCAGGAGGGGGACACGCTGGGGGACACGCTGGTGTCTCTGGGCGTGTTTGCTCTGGTGTGTGTGAACACGGAGGGGCTGGGCTGCATCTGGGCAGCTGTGCCTGGGCAGGAAAGGTGCAGGTTGTTTCCACCTGTGGAAGTGGAGTCCCAGCAGTTTTCACGCGAAACGTCATTCCTTTGCTGAACTAGATGGAGTGAGAGCTTTATTCATTTCTCCCTGTTACGAACTAAGATAAGGTTTTCTCTTGTATTTTTCTTGCCTTGCTGCTGTCTTGCCATAGCACAATGTATCTGTGTGAGGGGGGAGCTATGGAGGGGGAAAAGGGTCAGAGCAGGAGCTGTGGGAGCTGCTGGGTGCAGATCTGGAGGAAAGGGATGGCAAGGGATCAGCAAGGCAGAGTGGGAAGGAGCTTTGTCCTCAGCACGCACCGAGAGGCCAGAGACAGTCACGGTGGCAGGAGGGTGAGAGGAAACCTCTCTCTCAGGCTTCTGATCCTTTTTCCTTCACTGCTGGCTGGCCAGAGTCACCTGGCTCCAGCTCAGCTGCCTTCCCCTGGCAGGCTTTCCTCTGGTTTTAGCAGGAACTCCATCTGTTTCAAAAGCAGGTATTCCTATTTTATCCAAAGTGTGAAGCAATGTTTTTGTGAAGTCCTCAGTTTGAGAGCCTCTCTAATTGGGTAGATTTTGTAAAAAACTCTTTTTTAGTAATACATTTTTGAAATTCTTTTTCTTGACATACTTTCAGTCTTTCATCTTCCCACCTGTAAGAAAGTATGTTTTTTGTTCTTCTGCTTATCCTTCTTCATCTTTACTTCCATGGACATAGGGATGGGACAGGAAAGAAGAAAATGGACTGATTTTTTTTTTTTTTTCACTTTCTCCTCTCATTAATTGTGATTTGAAATGCAACGAACTTATTTAATGAAAATTGGCTACATTTGACCCCATTGTTTTTTGGAAAAACAGTTTTTAAAAAAGCTATTAAGTTCATCATTCTGTATTTAAAAGTTTCTATGTGGAGGCATTTGATAAACCTGTTGAATATGTTCAAAGCACAACCTTTAATTTTCCCTGCAGATTAAAAAAGCAGAGCAACTTTCAAAAATTAGCAAAGCGCAAATGCTGCTGAAACAGCATCGCCAGGTGTGGTGGCAAGAGTATAAAAGACTGAGTGAGAGCAGGTAAGGGCTGAGGAATCTGAATGAGTGGTTACCAGAGAGACAAGCAGACAGTTTTGGGCTGGCATAATTGATTGAAGGGACACTGAGAAAAAAATATTATAATACCTGATCTGAAGGTATTTTTGTGTGGGGAATGAAGGTTTGTGATCCACATGGAGAGGGCTCTGTGACATGAAGAGCTCACCTGAGGTCAGGGAGAGCAGGGAATGCTGCTCTCGGAGCCTCCGAGGTGTTCAGTTATCTGCAGCATCTGAAGACTGTGTCTTTGTAAGAGCATCAAAAGTTTTCAGATCCTTTTAGTTCCTTTAGAGGCTGTTCCTAGGCTGTGTGTTGAGGTCACAAAACAGGGGACATTAACAGTGCTCTTGTCCATTACCCCGTGTACTCAACAAGAGCATTTGTGGCTTCTTTACCATCCTTGTGTCCAAGTCCTTCCCTGTATATCTTCCCAGGCAAAGAATCCCCTTTTTCATGTAATTATTACACAAAAAATTTGAGGCTCAATTTGAGTATTTGAGGCTCATCATTCTTGCAAATGTAATGAATGATAAATGAAATCTTCTGCAAAACACATGTTCATTTCTTTCAGGCAAAAAGCAGAAGAAGAAATGAAGACTTTTCTTGATGAAGAAAGCCATAAGAACAACTTTTTTCTTGATTTGAGGGAATTGGGTAAGAATTTTTTATTAATTCCTTAACTAATTTTTTTTAATATTCAACATTATCTTGATTGTTTGTTGGGGCTTTTTAATCCCTTCCTTGACAGGTTTAGATTTGCAGACCACAGTGCTGTGTAACATTTTTTGTGTGTTTGAGAAAACTTTGTGTTCATACAGAGCAGAAATTGTCCGAGGAGTGGGACACTTATCAAGCAAACGCTTTAGTTCCTGTCTGGCAGCTAAAGGAGGATTTGAAACTCAAGCTGTCTCAAGTGCAGCGTTACCTCTCAAAAGAATCTTGTCAGAAACCCAAGATCAATTCAGCTGAGGTGTTACAGCAGGTTGGTATTTTCACTTTATTTTTACAGTTTACTATCACCATATTTTTGGCATTTTCGTTTATTTTTTTTGTTGAACTTCAAGACTATAATTTACATGCAGGGTGTGCCATAAACCCCCCTTCTTATCATGGTGTAAATCTGCTCACCAAAATCTGTAAAAGTGTAGCAGTGCAGGGCTGGAAATCTGACTCTGTTTCTAAGTAAGAGTTTTCATGTTGTAGCGAGAGGAAGAGTAACAGTAACATGTTTCATGAAACAGATCAAATTTATGAAGAATCAACAGAAGGCAGTTTTGGAAGGTCTCATCCTTGAAAGTCTGGCTTTGGAAAGAGAGCTCGAAGAGCACAAAGAAAATGTAAGCTTTTCCTTACAGGTTCAAGCAAAAGTTCATTGAAGGGGTAAATACGATGCAGAGTAGTGTCCTGAGCAGCATTTCTTCATTGCAGGCATTAGTGCACTCTTCTGAAGAGAAAAACGGGCTTTTCCTTGAGGTTCCCCCCGAGCTGCAGTCTCTGGAATGCCCCTACCCTGACCTGAAGGCCTTGGTGATCCAGCAGTACCAGGAGCTGGCCAGTGGCCACTGGGCGAAGCTTCGGGAGGTGGAGCAGCAGCTGGAAGCTTTGTCTAGGTACTGGCCGTGTGTGCTGGCCCTGGGCAGGCTGAGCTGTGTACCTGAGGTGTGCTTTGGGCACGCTGGGTGCTGTGCTGGCTGTGCCACTCGCTCTGCTCTGCTCTGCTCTGCTCTGCTCTCTGTGTGCAGGCGCTGCCCAGCCCTTGGGCAGTCGCTGTTCTCACGCTGGGGGTGAAGCCCGTCCTTGCCAGAGTCACCAGCTGAAATTATAATCAATGTGTTTGGTGGGTTAAGGAACCAACAGTCTGGTGTGCATCAAATGCCCTTTGCACATGCTCTTGCAGGAATGGAAATTGCTCCTTCTGTATGTAATTACACTAGCAAGGTTATGACAGACAGGTACAGTCTTTTTCCAAGGCACACCTCCAGGGCTTTTATCTATCAAGCAGATAAAAAGGGCCAATCTTTTCACAAACTTTGGATCACTGCAGTAATTGTCATAGAGAAATGTAAAAGATGTATATGGCTCTGATTCAGATAACCAAAAGGAGGAGAGATTTTTCTGTAAATGAAAATGTTTATTGAAAGAGAAGTATTCATAATGATCTAGAAATGTAATAAACCTGTGTGTTAATAATATAAAGCTTAGCCTTTCTGCTGAGGCTGTCTGGAGTCCAGGAGGCACTGAGTTGCAGACATTGCATGGCCTTTGACTTGTTTTTGCCATCTCCTGATATTCCTTTGGATGGCTTCACGTTGTCAAAAGACTAAGGGGTAGGGCAGTGGAAGGGTTTGAAGCCTGCGCAGGAGAAACCGGGGAGAACAGGAAGGTCTCTGAATTTCCTTGGTAAAACCATCACATGTTGCTTCCAAATTGGTTTTCTGTGTACACATACAGTGCAGTGTTTGCTCTGTCCCTGCTGCTGAATGAGTCTGGTGTGCTCAAACAGCTGAAGATGCTGGCTGCCATAGAAAGGGATGTGATGATCTGCTAATCTTTTGTACAGATTGTACAAACATTCTGTGTGTTCAGGTGTGGCACCTGAAACATATGTTATTACTGGAGCATCCTCACTGTTAGAGCATGATACTTACTGAAAATTGTTTTGATTTATCCTACCAAATTGTTTTGATTTATGAAGCCACAAATGGCAAATTTGAGCAGTTCTTTTGCTGTTCTCTCTGATATTTTGTTATAGTTTCTCTTACAGAAGAAGTTTTAACAACCTCAATGAGAGAACCTGTGACAAATGGTAAAGCACTAAATATGTACAAGGTCTTTCTAGCAGTTTTAATAAAATTTGTGTCAAAGTTTATGATCAACACAATTTTGGTGAAAATTCATAAATTAAAATCCTTGACTTATGCAGCACATGTGCTACTGAACAATAGGCAGACGTGGATATAGACAACATAATTTCTGAAATGTCTGCCATAGAAATGGAAGAAGAGCTTGGGTTTGTTTTCAAGCCTTATACAGGATTACAATATTTTGTAATCTAAAAGGGTATGAGTTTAGGTCTGGAGCTAGCTAAATTTGCACCAATAATTAAATAATATCAGGACTTAAAAATGGAAAGAAAATCAGTTGTAGCCTGAGCACATGTACAGTGGCACTTCGAAGGAAGGAGGGTGTGATCTCTGGATGGGAAACAGGCAGTGGATGGAGCTGGGGGACGGGCTGGTGGTGGGGCAGGAGTGGGGCTGTGACAGGCTGTAGGGCCACAGACCCAGTTTGGGACAGTGTGCCAGTCCTGAGAACTGCAAATGGAGGGAATCATAAATGAATCACCAGCAATTATCTCAGGCATTCGATTTAAAACTAGACCTTGGGGACTTTTGTTTGCCTTCTGGTCTCCAAATCTTTGATGTGTTGCTCATTTATGTTCCAATGGTTTTATCCACAACAGGATTAAAAATGAGTTTTCAATTTTTAAAAAAGAAAGACTTTGTTCCTATAGCATTGCTTGTTTCCAAGGCATGGGTTTGTAAAACTCAACTCCTTACATTTATATTGGCTAATTTGCATGGAGATATCCTGTGAGTTTGCAAAGATGCAGCCTTGTGATTGAAGTATTCTATAATTCATCATGCTAACTGTGATCCAGCTGGCACAGATAATGCTGTCAGAAATGGAGTGACAGGTCCTCGACCTTGCTGTGTGTCCCCTGTGCTGTTAATACAGCCTTAACAAACCTTTGCAGTTACTGTCATTGCTCTGTGCCCAGAGAGACCACACATCCTCCTGCAATACATTTTTCTTATTTTTGTGATTTGAGAAGTGGCTCAGTAGCACATGATTGTGTGATAACACAGTGGCTTGGTCACTTCAGCTGGGTCACTTGGCCACTTCACTTCCTCTATCATCATATGTTGATTGTACAGTAAAGAAACCTTCAGTTAATACTGCTCTGGCATTGCACAGCCCATTTTCATAGCAGTTCAGACTGTCTGGAACAGAGAATTTGGAAAATGTGCATAAAATGTTCAAGAAAGAAACTTTAGAATAAGATAGTGTTCTGGTCTGGCCTATTCTGTGTGATTTTCATTCACACTAGAATGCACATTGCAGTAGTCATTACTTTTAGAAAAGGAAGAAGAGCTTGGGTTGGTTTTCAAGCCTTATACTGGTTTACAATATTTTATAATAGAATTTTTTTTTTTTTCCATGCTGCTGAAACACAAATTTCTGTGTTTGGGAAATACCCAGGTCGTGAGCTATCCCACAAATTGTGGGCTTGGACTGATGTGTGTTAAAATGATTTTCTAAGCACTATTATTTTTTCCACAATTTCCAAGGATGTCCGAATTATTTAAATCACTGAAGGAGGAATGGAGTCTTGCAGACTGAGCTCTGCATCCTGTGCAGCATCCTTTCAGAGGAGTGGCAGAGCAGGACAGAGCCAATTCAGCTCCTCTGCCAGGCCCCTGCCAGGCTGCTCCTGCTGCAGTGGGCAGTGCCCTCCGTGGCAGCAGGGCTTGGCTTCTCGCTTGGTGGCACTGTGTGTGTGGCACGGTGGCACTGTGTGGTGGCACTGTGTGGTGTCACGGTGGCACTCTGTGGTGACATGGTGGCACTGTGTGTGTGTCACGGTGGCACTGTGTGGTGGCACTGTGTGTGTGTCACGGTGGCACTCTGGCACGGTGGCACTGTGTGGTGGCACGGTGGCACTGTGTGTGTGTCGCGGTGGCACTGTGTCATGGTGGCACTCTGTCATGGTGGCACTCTGTGGTGGCACGGTGGCACTCTGTCACGGTGGCACTGTGTGGTGACATAGTGGCACGGTGGCACTCTGTCACGGTGGCACTCTGTGGTGACGTGGTGGCACTCTGTGTGTCGCGGTGGCACTCTGTCACGGTGGCACTGTGTGGTGGCACTGCGTGTGCCCGCAGATGGACGCGGCAGCGGTGCCGGTCCCCGCCGCTACAGCGAGGGATCTGCGGGATTGCAGCGGGGAGAGGGAGCTTTCCCTGGAGCTGTTGGTATTCCTTGGAGTGTGTAGCGCCGGGGATTAGTGCTGGGGAAATGTGTTTCAAAGGAAGCAGCTGCCTCGGGGCTGTGCGTGTGAGACAATTGCTGTGTTTCAGCTCCGAAACGAAATAAAGATTGTGCTGTGCTCTGGTACAATGCTGCATACAAGAAAACCGAGCTCTACGTTTAAAATTTGGGTCAGGCATTCAGCCTGGAAAATGTTTGTCAATATCTTGACAATGCAGAAACTTGATAATACCTTAAATATTCATGTCAAATGTGTTGGCACTTTTCAGACTTGTTTTAGATGAGGTATTCCTTTCTGCAGTTTTACAGAAGTGTGAGTGAGGTGACATCTCAGATTCACTTAGCAGGATATGTTGGAATTCTCCATGTGTTTGGTGGCTATGAATATGCTGGGCTGGGTCATGCTCTTTTGGTTTTTTGGTTGGTTTCCCCCCGCCAGTATTTTTCTATGAGCAGCTGACAAAATCTCAGCACAGCTGACAAATTTTGGCACAGCTGACAAACCAAGGCATTGGCAGTCAGCTTGTCCCTACTTACAATAAACTTCTTGTAGCTCTCTCTCCAGCTGATTGCTCCCCAAAGGATCCCCCACAGAAATGTCTCCTTGTTTTGGGCAGTGCGGGGAGCCCTGGTTAGCTGGCCATCGGAGGAACACAAACCAGCGGGATAGGAGCTGGCTGGGCTGCAGCATCTCCCCTGCTCCCCAGGTCCTGGGTAATGCCTGACCAGGGTGGATCCCACCCTGCCTCGCTCCTCTCTGTAGGCAGAAGAGCTCTGCTTGTTCACCAGCCTGCATGGGCAGAAATATCCAAGGTAAAACGTTGCAAGACAGAATCTCAGCTCTTAGAACTGTCTCACTACTGTCACTGAGGTGGCATGTTCAGGTGTCACCATACTGAGGTGTGTCAGGATTCACAGAGCAGATGACTGATTTCTTTAATGGTAGATCATGGAGTCTAGCCTAATATTAATTACGTGTGAGTTTCTCACAGAAATCCCCTTTTTTAAGCACCTGCTCTTTCTGCCTGCATTAGGATAGGGCAGTTCCGACACCTCACTGGATGCAGTGCTATGGAACACAGACAGGGCTGCTGGCTTGGGGAGTCCAGGAACTGCAGCAGCTGGAGGCAGCAGGAATTTGGGGGTGGCTAGAGTCTCATGATTGCCTTCCTTTAATTATCCCTGGGCTCTTAGTCACTTCTGAAACCAGGTCACTGGGCTAGAGAGACCTTTGGTCTGACTCAGTGCTGCTGCTCGGATGTTAATGCTGACAATGACAGCCTGACATTAATCCCTTCAGGGCCAAGAGTTCAGATTGAGGCTAAAAATCTGCATCCTAGCCTGTGGTATTCTTTCAGATGGATGCTACTTCTTGCTGCTCTCATTTTCTGAGACAGAGCATGCAAACTGATTACTACAGTTCCTACTCTAGAAAAGGTGACTCTTATGCCTTACTGGTGAGTTTATAGCTGTTAGGAGTTTGGTAAACTAGATCTTCATTTAGATGTGTGCAAGGATTGTCCATTCATTCCCTTTTGATCATTTATTTAGTGCTCAGTGTTGGAGTCTGATCATCTTATGCTTTTTACACTGTATTTTCCCTGTGGGGTCACTGATTATCTAATTATGTGGCATGTTTGAGAAACACAGTGACATTCCCCAGTAAAAAACCAGATTAGAAACAGAGCAATTCACTCAAATGATGCCACAGTCAGTGTCATATCAGCAAAGCCATGTATGTTTGCTTTATTTCATTAATCTGATTTTGTCACCTCTAACCCAACATCAGTTTCCATCATCCAGACTGTGAGCCCACTCAGGGCTGGGCTGTCCAGAACCAAACTCCTCCTTTGCAGTGATTAAGTTATACTGGGATGGATTGTTTTGTTCCCATAGGAACAGTGACTGGAAGGAAGAAGATCAGTGGGTTTTCCGGACTGTTATCAATCAGTACCCAAGTGATCTTCAGAGGAGGAGGACTTTGTACCTGGATGTGCTGCAGAGGTATCTTCCCCACAAATCCAGGCAGGAGCTGGTCAGTGCTGGTTTACCTATTCATTCAAATATACAAATTCTTAAACTATGTAGTGAACAGTTTATTAAAGAATGTATGTTTATTGAAATTTTTTAATTTAAACATTTCTTAATTATAAGTTTTATTCTGCACAGTAAAGAAGAAACATCCCTGTTTTAAAAATGCAGGTATTTTTAAACCTATCATCTCTTCTAAACAGCTCCTGGGCAGATTTTTTAGTTCCACATAGTCTTACAGCCCAATTTACAAAAATAATTTGTTAGCATTGCTTCTGCTGTATAGTTTTATAGCTGTGTTATGCCACTCTGCTTCTCTTGGTGTTTTCATTTTTCATGAGGATGCACAGCCTTGTTGCACTGTCTTGGAATAATTATTTTAATTGTTCTGTGGCACATATATAGCATGAAGAGTAGAAAGTTATCTCCCGCTCTAAGGGAGAGGCTATTTTTATATACATAATGCTTTCAAATTGATTGCTGATTCCTCTTGCACTCCACAGTGAATAAGCACATAGCAGCTAATTGAGAAACCCATTTTGAGGCCAGAACACTTCAGGATGTCATAAGGAAAGTAGGAGGCTTTTCTTATCTCCGTCTGTATTTTTAGACCATCTACTTTCCTGTGTTTGAGGAGTGTCTAGTGCAAAGGAATGACAGTGAAGTGATACTGCTAATTAGCCAGAGCTTCACTAAATATAAAGTTCTTGTGGATTTCAGGAATTTTGCCCTGGACTGAATAGGGCTGAATAGTCCTGTGCTTTGGAGAATGCAGGTATGTTTTAAGAACAACCACTATTAAAGGGTCTCCCTACGCCTTGGAAGGTTCATTTAAAATTTAAAAATCCCAATTCTACAGTGAGCTGATGTGTCTTGGTACGTGTATTAGCATGATGACTGTGGAAATGTTAAAACTCTGCTAAGAATCTGTCCTTAGAACGTGTTTGTGTCACACTGGAACAGCAGCCTCGAGCCTTCCTCGCCTCCTTCCCTCCGTGGTCAGGGGTCAGGCACTCAGAGCCTGATCCCAGAGCAGATCCTTGGGGAGCTCTGTGTTTGGAGGAGCAAACTCCAGCCCCTGCCTTGCTCAGGAGTGTCTTGGCTTGAGGAGCCTGGCAGCCTGGGGCAGCAGCCCTGGCCGTGGGAGCTGCTGAGGCAGAGGGCTGTGGTTTGGCCGTGGGGAAGCTCGAGGTGCAGCTTCAGCCAGCCAGGAGCTGATAGGAATATCTGTGAGTCAGCATCCCCTGCTCCCTGCCAGAGGCCTGGAATTAGCATCTGGAATGGTCCCCTTGACACCTGAGAGCAGCCAGCCATCTCTAGAATCTCATTCATCCCTATATATTTTGGGGATATAAGACAGGTTCAAGACTCTACTGCCTCATTCTATGCAGCCTTACCTGGTACTGCTTCCATCAAGGTCTTGAACCTTGGATATCCTCATGAACCTCACTCAATTGGGCCAAAGCAAGTGAATTTTGGATTAAACACTCCCCATTTTTGCTAGGTGGAGACACTGGTGGTGGCACTGTGCTGCTTGGTGAGCTAAGATTTTCTTTCCAAATTTCCTGCTAGAAAAGAAGTGAACCCGATTTCCCCCTGTACTGCTATTGTACAGTTGCTGTTATTGGTGTCCTGTTTCTCTGCAGATCAGAATTTGCTAGGAAAAGCCTCATCTTGCTGGAAGTGCTCAATAGCTCTGGAGATATATTGAAGGACCTGCTTATGTGTTATGTCCTCCAGGGCAGGGAGGGACCGTGGCATTCCATTTATTCCCATAGCAAAAGCGCAGCTGAAGAGAGCAGCGGGCCAGCAGGATGCTGTGGTGCTGCAGGGTGTCACTGCCCAGGACACCAGGACATGGTGACACCCCTGGCACCTGGCAGAGTGCCCTGGGCCTGCGCTGCAGATTCCGTGGGAGTATTGGTGATACAAGAACTAAATCAGTTACAGCCAGGTTTGCAAAAATGTCTAGAATTTTAATTTTATTAACGAATAGTTTTTAAGCCTTTCTGAAACGCCTTCCTCTTTCAGGTTGCTCATGAGAAGGCTTTGGATCACTGCCATTCCATCAGAAACCAGCACAGAGTCTTGTTGTCAGCCTGGGCTCAGCTTAGGAAAGCCTTTGTCCTCAGGGCCATGGCGACTGCTGCTGAAGCTGCTGCTGCTCACGAGGCAGAAGTGGTGCTGGCTGACTCCAGGCAAAAGCAACTGGAGATCTGTGCTGACCTGAGAGCAAAGGTACCTTCAGTTATAAATCCATCACCAGATCTGTGTCTAACAGATGCATTCAAAATGAAGTCTTTTACATTAGCACTAATCTGTTTTCAGGTAAGTAATCCATATCTGTCTGTCCTTCTGGTTTTTTTTAAAGAATGTTTTTTAAGACATGAAACAATGGATCCCATAACTTGTTTGGCCTTGTTATAGAAGGTTCATAATATTCTGATTTACTGCGGTAAGAGGTGAAAAAAGATAAAAATACCTGTGTGGTTTTGGTAAGTGAATAAAGTGGGAGGAGGCTGGACACAAGAGGAAGATGTTGTGATGTTCATGCCTAAGGTGTTTGTAGGAGGAATCCCATTTCTGGGCATGAGAGGCATGTTAAGATTTGTTTAAACTGCTCTCTGTGATTTTTGACTTGCACGGAAATGAACATCTGAGAGCATGCATAGTGTGTTATTCTCACTTTACCAATATTCTCTCTGCTGTGCCCTCACTTTTCAGTGAAATACTAAACACTTGATTCAGGTCTCCTACGAGAAGGAAAGCATGGTAAAACCTGTTCTGTGAGGCAGGATTTTGGTGTTGATGCTAGTTTTTAGTTAGCAATAACACAAAAGCCCTTCTGTCTTGTGTTCTGGAGCTGTCTGGCGTAGGAAGGTTTGAATCTAAACACTTTAGGGTTAGAAACTGTCTGGGCATGACTAAGTGGGGAGTACCCTGCTCTGACTCCTGTGTCAGCCTTCCCTTGGGCCAGGGGCAGGAAGGAGTTGCTCTCTGCAGCTGAGGGGATGTTTGGTGATTTTTACCTAGGCCTTCCTTTCTGGAATGCCTGTGTGTCTCTTACCTGCACAACCAGAGATGGAAGGGCCAATTACTCCAGAACTGTGAATTTGAGCCACTTTTTTCCCCTTTGTTTCTTTTACTTTTCTTCTGCACAAGAAGTAACAAGCTGGTTTTGGAATACTTTGTTGTCTCCATATAAGATTCTCATAGATGCACTGAACATTGTCTGAAAGATTTTTGGATTCTGACCTCCTGTTTCCAGGAACTGTTTGAAACTCAAACCTATTAGACCTACACTTTTCAAGGGTGACTTCAAAGGGATCTTTGTTAAAATGTCGAACACTTGAACAAAACCAACTCACCTGTTTCCCAGAAGAGAGGAATGAAAAAGGAACATTTCTTTCATTAAAGGAGGATATCATTGTGACCTTGTTTTGATCAGCTCCACAGCTGAAAGGGCTGCAGGGCGGAAGCTGAGCTTGGGCACAGAGCTCACTCATTTTCAGAGAAACGATTCTCAATGTATCCCTGGGTTCTCTTTTGGTTTGATGGGGATATGCATTTGAAAACTCATAGTTTGCCCAGTTATAGTTCATTTTACACACTTGTCTTTCTGCACTTCTGAACTTTACAGAGTGCTGGACATGGAAAGCAGCTGCTGGCAGGTAAAAGGGAACTCAGTCCACTACTGATTCACACAGGTAAAACCCATCCTGAGAGAGAGCCACAAGATGGGTGAAGTGAGGGAGGGAAAGAGTGTGGAAATGGAAATCAGGGATTAGGGCTGTTCTTCCACCTTTTCTTTTCGACCTTTGATTGACGTAACATGTTGCATTTTGGGACGTTTTGCATCAGGAAACCTTCCTTGTCTCCCCTCCCAGAGGGGCAGTGTAGCTGCTGCAGTGATTTACCTGTGAGCAAGGCCTGGCTATGCTCGTGAGGAGGCTGTGTCTGACTGAGGGGGACAGATCTCCCATGACAGCAGCAGGTTTCAGAGAGCCACAGCTTTTCTGTTGGCACACACACGGAAAGAGATGTAATATCTGACAGGCTGTGCACTGCTTTGGTTACTGCAATAGCCACACAAAACAGTTCACTTCCTCTGGCAACAACAAACCCAAGGGGCAGCAGACTGACTAAAGAATACATGATTTAAAGCTCTTTTAAATGCACTAGAAGCACCTATGCCATTGGTGAGACTCTAGGTCTTGTGACTGACGGGGAGGGATAATTAAAAAATAAGGCAGCAGAGAAGTTAAATTAATATTTATAGCAGTTTTTAGTTGGGGAAAGGACTTTCAAATTTTTATTCCATGTTCCACCTAACAGGAGATCAGTGTGTGTCCTTAACAGAAATCATAGTCCCTAAGGAGAAAGTTTGGAACAACTGAATAAATCATGAGGGCCCTATGGTAGCCATCTGAAGGAAATGAAATGTGAAATGGATAATGCTGGGGAGGTTACACTGCACATTCTTAAAGAGTAAATGTGCCTGGTACATATCTTTAACATCCCTGTTTGCCATGGGAAAACAAACAAAGCAAACCCTGAGGGGTCACACTTGGAGTGATCAAGAGTCACTGAGCTCTGGTGTGCTTTGAGCTGTGGGAATCTGATCCCCCCAGGGTTCTGCAGCAGACACTGTGTAAAACAAACTCCATCTCTGTAAAATTCCTTTTCCTAAACAACACAGAGAAGCAATTTTTTCCGTGTTGCAAGGCAGGTAAGGCACGAAATGAGGAGTGATCTTTTCTGGAGTTTGGAGTACTTGCTGTATTACATCACAAATTCAGCTGAGGTGTCTGCATGCATTCCAAACATTATTTTTATATTGAATCTATCTTAAAATATTTGTAATCTGGTACTTTCCATCTTCATAGAAAATGATTTTAAAAGAAGACTAGAGGGAAGGCCTACAGCAGCAGACATTAGGGCAGTTGGATCCCCTGTGTGCACTGCTTGGGGGGGCTTTTCCTTCCTCAGCACAAAGCTGTGTGCCTGCTTGCCTTTAAATCTCTTCTTTCCCATGTTTTGTGCTCCAGGATTAATCCCCACTCCAATGCTAAAATCTCTTGCAACACATTGTGAATTTTGGGAGGGCAGCTCTTGCATTTCTTATCCTGGCAGAAACTAAGATAAATTAATTTCAAAAAGAAAAGTATTAGGTGGAATTAACAGGGGTTTGCAAATTGTATAAAGCATCTTGCAGATTGCTTTCCTTCTCCTTTTGTGTATTGTAGGAAAGGATATGACAGTAAACTTAGGAGAAAAACAAAATTCCTTATTCAGCGTGTAGTCAGGTCACTGGTTTAAATGCTGTGACTATCCCAGGAGATCAACATTGAAGTATTACAAGTGAATGTTGCAATAATTTAGATCCAGTGCTTTGACTATAATCTGATCATTTTGTAGGAAACTTTTTAAAAGAATAAATATTTGAATAGTAAGCTACTTAAAAGAATGGTTTCCTTTCTCAGAAGTGTTGTCTATTAACCACTGAGTTGACCCATTAATTTGTTGGACGTAAAAAACACAAGGAAGTTATAATAACCTAAATTTTAAATGTAACTACTCATGTTTGTGGTGAACTGATGAGCTGTAGGATGCTGCAGGATTTCTCCAAAATGTATATGAGCAAGTGTCTGAGACTCTAACACTCATCACAGACGAGGCAGCTCTGACTCAGTAATAAGTTTTCAATCCAGACCTAATAAACCTATAAATTTAATAGTCTGAGGTCAGCAGTGACATACTGTGTCTTTTGGGTCAGACCAAGCTCAGTACATGTGAAGCAATTGCAGAGGTTGTCTCTGCACGTTTGCCTTGCTTGCCCTTCCACCAGTCCTTCCCCGCTGTTGTCCTGTACCTGTGTTCCACCATGTGATGTTGTTATTTCTGATCCATCTCCTGTTAATCTCCTCCCACTGTGTTTCTGGTGTCTGCCTGCAGCTGCCCTGGGCAGGACTGGTGCCCACAGAGCCCTGCACTCCCGGGAAGCTGCCGAGGGCAGTTTGCCAAAGCTCCGAGCGCACTCCTTCGGATTCCTCCAACGCCTGATCCCCCGGGCTCACACTGCAGGCTTTTGGGAGCAGGGGCTGCAGGGTACTGCGTGGGAGGAGACCATGGGCTGATTTGAGAGCTCTGAGATCCGCTGGAAGAACCCACAGCACCCCAGAACTCCAGCCTGGGACGTAGCCTGCTCAGCTGCCTGTCTGCTGTGAGACCTGGAGCAGGCTTCTCTCTAATCCAGCTGAAACTGTCCAGTGACACCTGAAACTGCTTGAGGATGGATAACTAGACAAGCTGACAGCTCTTGCCCACAGTGTTTTCTTAGAATGATCTTCAGTGAGGAAAGTGGCACCTCAGACAAGCAAAGCTGCACCAAAATTTTGCAGTTGTAAAAGATCAAAGGAGCTCTCATCCATATGATAGCAGATGGGTCTAGAAGAAAGAATTCTGTATCTAAAGGAAGCAATTTGGATAGGTAGTTGTAACTAGAAATGCAGGCTACTTAAGGTTATGCATGTGTGAATATTTAAGCCTATATAATATTTACACTTGTTTATAAAATGTTGACATTCCCATTGTCAAGAACAGAAAGATGTTCCCAGTAATGCTGGATGAGGAAAGAGAGGAACTGCAAGGACAAGCTGTGAGAAATAAACTGTTCACACACTGCCCTGAGCAAAGCTGATGTGATGTGCTGTCACCTCAGGGAACTGACACTGCTCCTGTTCTGGATCCTGACTTTTACCAGTGCTGACCCCAGCCCCCACTGAAATTGGTACATGGTGCTCCTCCTCAGGTCATGGCTGAGGGCTGTGCTCAAGTGCTTTTCTTTCATATCCCTTTTTCAGATTTAAACACTTAAATAACTGAAGACCATATTCTGTTAATGATCAAAACAGTTACTTTTAACTACTTTTCTGGTATTTGTTTTTTTTAACCTCTTAGAGGTAGCCTGTGGAGCACAAGATGCTCAAGAGTACCCGTCAAAAATCTATTAGGGATGTGAACCTCCATTGTTCTTCTAACCACAGCCAGAACAAGATTATCTCCTGAGATTAGCAAACTTGTAAATGTATTATTTCTTAATTATCCTACTGCCAAATGCTCTAATGCTGCTCTAATTCTTCTTGTAGGTCTTGTGTAGGTCAGTCAGATACAGAAATTGTTGGCTTTTACCATTTATTGTTCATCATTCAAGACCCTGTGGAGTCAGGATATGATTC